TTCAGGCCCTGACGGGGGGCATCAGGATGGGCTGGCCTCACAGCAACTGGAAACTGGAATTAAACAGCCTCCATGTAACCTCCACTGCTTCCCAATTCAGATGCAGAACTCGGGGGTGGGGTGGGGGTGCAGCCCAGCCACCTGTACCCTCTCAGCCAGTGGCCCTAATGGGCACTCAAAACAGATTGTTCTTTGGGGAGGGGACTCAGAGGCCTGATTCGTGGAGAACTCAATAAAACCTTCCGTCTCATCCTGTCCCCTCCTTGGTCGTCCTAGGAAACAAATTCCACTGTCAGGTTGTCACTTTTTAGAAGCTCAAGCACTTCTCTTTTTTAAAAAGTGTTTTCATTGATTTTACAGAGGGAGGAAGGGAGAGGGAGAGAGAAAGGTGGATTGGCTGCCTCCTGCACTCCCCCTATCGGGACAGAGCTGCCACCCAGGCATGTGGCCTGACCAGAAATCGAACTGCCAACCTTTCGGTGCATGAAATGACGCTCCACCAACTGAGCCGCACCGGCTGGGCTCCAGGGCCTCTCTTAACTGAGAACCTGAAGACTACGAAGATAAAGACAATAAAGAGAATATTTGCTGACTGAGCTGAGTGTCTTACAAAGTAGTTACTTATGCCAGATGCTCTCCATTCAGCCCCCAGGCCCACTGGCCTCTCTCCTGAGCAGGCTGTGTGCTGGGAGCCGCCTCTGTGGCCGGAATTCCCTGGGCTCCCTTCCCTCTGAGCCAGTGGGGGGCACTGGGAAGAGGAGGAGAGAGGTGCGGTGCTGGTCCTGTTGGTCCTTGTCAGGCTGGGGGTGCCAGCCCGGCAGTCGCTAGCTCCAGGGCCCTTCCCCTGCCCACACCTCTGCCAGCCCGCCATTCACACCGCCCTTCAGCGGCCCGCGGGGGTGGGGGGTGTACAGCTCGGCACTGTTATTGTTCACACCGAGCCAGCGCCAAGGCCGAGCTGGCGGCTGCCCTGCACATCTGGCAATGGCTGAGCAGGACTCCTGGTCTCGTTCTAGGACTCGGCTTCTCACTGACTGTGGAGGTGCCGGGGCAGGGTCACACCTTACCTGCCAGCCAACTCCTCGGGGCCGAGGACGGGCGAGGACAGAAGCAAGGCCGCTGGCTTCAGGACTCCAGAACCAGGGGCTTCTCCCTCAAGAGGCCAGAGATAGAAGGGGAGGGGATGGCGCCTCCTTCTGTGACTAGAGGATCCCAGCAATGAGTGCTTGTGTCTCTTTCTCCACCAGCCCAGGACCACGCGTGGGACTCAGCTGGCTGCCTTCCTGCTTGTGTGCCTCTCATGACCCTGGCATGTGGTAGGGATCAGCACTCCGACTGAAATAAATGACATGTGACCGAGCATGGAGCCTGTGAGTCGATTGAGACATCAGAACAAGTCTGTCTCCC